AGATTTCACAGGTCTTTCCTCCCCACTGCTGTCAGACTCCACAACAAAGACTCCAACTGATCAAACACACACATGTGCAAGAACACTAAGTGCAAAACTCTTTTCTGGCATTGTTGTATTTTTACTCAGTTGTATATAAAATTTGTATTCTATTTTTATCCTATTGTATATTTTATTCTATTTTATTCTACTGTATATAGTATTTTATTGTATTCTATTCTGTACAGTTGTGTACTGTATTTATTCTTATTATATTCTAATTTTTGCAACATAACTTTTGCACTGTCCACTTCCTGCTGTGACAAAACAAATTTCCCATGTGTGGGACTAATAAAGGTTATTCTGTCTTATCTTATCTTATCTGGAGTAGGCTAGCGGCTAATCCACACAAACCCGCTATTCCCACAATCGTACTGTCCAAAGTGCGCTTCCTGGACAAGAAGCTCAACATCACAGTGGTACTCTGTGTTTACATCAACGATGCCTGGTGTCGTGACGCTGTTGTGACTTGCAAACACTGTTCACCACTGTTGGAGCTTATGGTCATCAAGTGCAGACCGTTCTACCTACCGAGGGAATTTACAACCATACTGTTTGTTGCTGTCTATATCCCTCCCTGCTCCAATAAAAACAATAGGAGTGAGGCACTAAATGAACTGTATCAGCATGTCAGTGGGCAGCAGACAGCCCACCCAGATGCTTTTCTTGTCCTGGCAGGTGATGTCAATCATGCAGACCCAAAGACTGTGCTTCCCAAACTGCACAAACACATTAAATTTCCTACACAGGGAAACAACATTCAATTTTTTCACCACCCAGAGAGGAGATTACAAAGCCCCCCCACCTCCTCCACCTCGATGCCTCTGATCACATCACTGTTATGCTAATGCCAGCATACAGGCCCCTGGTCAAATCACCAAACCAGTTTGTTAGCAGGTACATGTGTGGCCAGAAGGGTCCTCAGAGGCACTGCAAGACTGCTTTTCCACCACAGACTGGAGATCTTTAAACAGGCCACCACACTGACAACACCACAGACCTTCAGGAATATACAGAAACTGTCACTGCCTATATCTCAAAATGCATCGATGATGTCACAGAGACCAGGACTATCACTGTCCAGGCCAATCAGAAACCATGGCTCACAGGTGAGGTCTACAGGCTCCTGAGAGTGAGGAATGCAGCCTTCAGAGCCGGTTATGAGGTGAGCCTAAGAACAGTAAGGGCAAACCTGTCACGTGGAATCAGAGAGGCGAAAAGGCAGCACTCCAGGAGGATTTCACAGTGTCAGCGATAGCAGAGATACTTGGAGGCTGTGGCAAGGGATACAGACTAGGGGTGGGTTTCAATACAAGATTTTCTGATTTAAATCGATTTTAGCTTGAATAATGTGAAATCGATTCATTAAATCCTGAAACTATTTTTAAATCTAAATGTATTTTGCCAGAAACGCCAGAATCTCAGCTTAAAGCTCACAAACTGTTTCAGCAACCAACAAACAGCTAAAACAGCAAATGAGAGCAGATAAACGGATTCCACACAAAGATGTAAAGACAAAGCGCGGACCCAATGCATCAGAATCTGTGAGATGTCGGCTTTCTCCCCCGACGGCACGTACACGGACACGCCGTCGGGGCTGAAAGCCGACATCTCACAGATTCTGATGTTGCAGGTTTCGTCACTCCGATCAAAATTAACTGAATCAGCAGCAAAAGATCAAAACTGCACTTCACATTTGATAAACATCGTTATTAATTCCCTCTGACTTTTGCTGTTTTGCTTCCATCACGATAAAATCACACTTCCTGCACAGCTCTCTCCCTCTCTCAGTGTACTTCAAGAACAGTTTACCATCTCAAATCTCTGTTTGCTTGCTTTTTACGCACCAGTCTACCATTGTGTACAGAGCTTCCGGCTGCAGTTTGTTTTTGTTTGTTTACTTCCGACAAGAAAGCCTCATTTCTGCGGTTCAATACCGAAGAAATTTAACTTTTACAAATGATGCCAAAACTCTTAGCTGTGTTTCTAATAAAACCTCTGTAACTTTGCTCTGCTTCACTTCAGCAGCATCAGGTAATGTTCATCATGGTTTCATGGATTCATGGTTTTCTTCCGTTTTTGATCGACTGCAGAATATTTTTAAGGTTATCTGCTATAAAAAGCCAGAACAGAAAAATCTCCTTCATGTTTTTCTGTGTTTTATCCTCAGTTATTTTGACATAAAGGTGTCTGCTTTAATATTTAAGCCTCTGATGAAGTCTCACAAGTGTCAGTACTGATAAATGATTAGAGTTATAATATTTCTGACTATCTGGGTCAAAATCAAATGAAATCAAATCAAGTTAAATTGGGACCTGGTGAATCGGAATGGAATCGATTATAGAAATCAGTGACGATACCCAGCCCTAATACAGACCATCATGGACTAAAACATATCGCTCTGCTTTAACATCGGGCATAAATGGAAACACAAAACTAAACAGCAGAAACGTTTCTAAAGTTAAGGAAGTTAAGCTAGCTGGCATATAATGCTGTGCTACCTGGTGGTTAGCTACAGAGCTATTGTTAGGATCATATAAACACATTAGCAGAGCACAGTTGAAGGATGAACGCTAACTTTTTCCCTCTCAATAAAACTTAATATGAGAGTTCCTGATGGGCAGAAAGAAATGCAGTCATGGCAGGAAACGGACTAAACTTGATCACCTGAGATGATCCATCCACAACACGAGGTTAGTCATCAGTCTGCTGCTGTCTGGTTTGGATGACTCGCGATGAAAAATCATGATCCTAAGCTTCATGTACCCACTGAAAGATCAAAGTTAGCCTCAGACTGATTCTTTTCTGAAGTGGTGGTTTCTGTTAAACCGTGAGCCCATAGACTTGCATTTATAAATTAAATTAAATCACATTGTAAGGTTTTAAAGACTGAGCTTAACCCTTTCATGCATGAATTATGACAACCTCAATCAGGATTTTTTTCTTAAGTATTTTTATTCATCTTTAGGCATGAAAAAAAGATTTAGAAATAAAATAAAACTATATCAGCTCAGGGTCACAAATATAGATATTTAATAAATGATACTGTTCTCACTTTTTTAGTGTGATTTCTGTTTCTGAACATCACTGCAGAGCTTCTACATATCAGGGCTGTAAGAAGTCACTTTAATATTCATGCAAGACTGCAGAGTGTCATCAGTCAGGAGAGAGCATGTTTGGACTTCATGTTTGAGAAAACCTGCTCGGAGAAGTGTGTTGATCCAAAGATGAACAGGACTCCAAAGTATGGAGAGAAATTTGTCTCGAAAGTGTTGCAAATTTGTACGATATGATCCAAAATCATAAACTAAGATTTACAAATGTGTGAAACTTTTGAGGAGTCATACGTGCATGCTTCAGTCCACACACAAATACAAAGTAATCTGACCATACAACTATTTTATAAATGTATACATCTAAACCCAAATAAATACTGATCATTTACACACAATTTATCAAGTTCAGCTCATGAATTCGGTAATTTTGGCTTTCACAAACCTTTCTGTGCATACAAATGTCTGAAACTACAAATAACATCGCTCCTCGCTCACAAAAACTTAAATATATGTGGACGAATGGCCTGAAACACACAGATCATGTCGCATGCTTATGTGTGGTTTTGAGAGTTTAATGCTGTCAACTTCACAGATCCAGAAATGTAGGCTGTGTTCAACTCCCAGTGTAAAACGTGTACAAATCTTTGTTTGTGGATCATGTCGTACACATTTGTAACCCCTTTGAGAAATATTTCTCTCCATGTTCAAAGCAGACTTTTTCACCTTCACATAAGCATCAAGAATGGCAGATTTATCTCCAGATGTGCGGCTCTGAACTGTCGTACAAAGACCTCAGGTTGATACTTAGTGAAGTGGGTTCAGTTCTCAAGTTCATTCTCTTACTTTGTTGGTCCACTCCTGGAGCCTGGAGGTGGATCTTTGGACCTGTCACTCCTCACAGACGCACAGCTGGATCCTACAGACTCTGCTCTGTCGTCCTCTTCCTCCATCATCATCCTTTGGTCAGCCTGATAGGTAAAGCACAAACATTCAGTGAGTTAGAGTCAGCTTTCTGCACTCAGCTGATTTCTGAACTAGAAACCAGGTCACATAATCCACATCAGGGATTAGAGAAACCTGACTTCTATTGTATTTATTAATTCTCATTCTCACTCTTTTCTATACTTATTCTATTTCTATTCAAGTACAATACTGTTGTACGTATTCTTAGTTTATCTTATTTCTGTATGTATGTATATATGTATATCTGAATTTTTTCATTTTTATTTTTACAGTGTGTACCTTTGGTCCAGGTGCATGATATTTCGACCGACTGTATACTTGAGTGTATATTGTTGGGTTGACAATAAAACTCTACTTGACTTGACTCTGAGCACTTTTCTATCCTGATTAAATTTAAAAATAACATCTAACATGTTCTTTCTATAAAGCTGCTGCCCTTAGGCCTCAAACCTAAAGTGTTCCTGTTTAGCAAATTAATCTCTGTCACGGTGCTTCAGACTCTGTAATTATATTATTTGATTATTGTTGTCAATAGTTTTGGTTTTCTTTATTTCTTAGTGATTGTAGTCCTTCCTCCCTTAGTAGTTTTCTTATCCTGTGTTTAGTCTCTGTTCCCTATGTCTCCCCAGTCACTGTGTTAAGCTTGTGTGCCCTGAGTCTGAGTTTCAGTCTCTGTGTTTCCTGTTTTATTTTGATAGTCCTTGTCCTGTGTGCAGTGTATCTGGATTTGCTTCCCTTTGTCTCGTTATGTCTGATTTGTCCCAGTTGTGTTACCACGTGTTCCCCATGCACTCATTGTCCTGCTTGTGTATTTAAGCCCTGTGTTTTTCTCTGTCAGTTGTTGCATCGTACTGTCACTATGCTGTGGTTTTTCCCCTCCATGTTCCTGGTCAATCCCTAGTTCTCAGACACACACTATATCTTCCTTGGCTGCTGCCTCAAAGCATTCCGTGCATTGTCAGTCTTGCATGCTGCTCAGTAACATTCAATATTTATTATTTACTGTTACTTATACTTATCTAGGTTGTTGCTGTGGTCTCCCTACTGTGTTGTTCTCATTTTGCTTGTTTTCTTCTCTTTTATTTTCCTTCCAGCAGGTGATCCAAAAGATTTTTTGTGTCTTTTCTCACTGGCCCTCTTCCCCTCTGCTTTTCTTTCCCTCTCCTTTTCTTGAACTTCTCTTGTCTACGTCTTTCCCTTTCCTAGCCCCCACTCATGTCTGTTCCGTTTTTAATAACTTAAAAGTTAAAAGAGCTAACTAACTAAATAACTAAATGAATAAATATTTATCAAGTGGACCTGTATAGCAAAGCCACAATGATCCACTTGGAAAAATAAATCCGTTGGGCATTTTTCTTAGCCTCCAGACAATAATTCTGATTGCTACAGTACCGAACAGGACAGGCAAAAAAAAAAGAAAGAAAAAAAAGAAAGAAGAAACTCACATCCAACCGAGGGAACTTGATTGCAGAGTTTTACACGTAGTTTTTTGCTTTGTATCTGTAACCAGACCGTAACAAAGAAAATGTATAACTTGTGTAAATATTTTTTACAAACACAAATCGTTTTTGGACACACACAAATACTCATCTAAGGATGGTTACAAAACTCGTTTCACAACTACGCAGTCTGATTTACATGTACAAAATATTTATCACCACAGTTTGAGCCCATAGATTATCTCATACTTCACCACATGAGTTCTTATTTTGCAGGTTCATATGACAGAGAAGCACTAGTGAAAATATCACTTCATTCCTGCGGTTATAACTTCAAAGAAAAATGATCCTTGTCCAGCTATGGCTCCTACAAAGTGAATAAAATGCTGGTCACAGATCAGTTTCCATAGTTTCTCTTCCTGCTGCAGAGACGATCCACAGTGACTTCTCCTTTATTCAGACTTTCTGTGACTGAAGTCAAATCATCCTAAAGGCTTCAACCCAGCACCAGACACAAATGATGCAAACTAAATTATAGTCAACTTCAAACTCATAATCCTTATTTAAAAATATTTTCTTATACACATTCATATTCAAATATTAATCCAAATATAACAGCAGCAGTTTCTATAGCAAAGGACAAGAAGCAGCAGCTCAAGACTCACATGACCAAAAAAACAGAAGTAAAACCGAACAGTGCAGGTCAGCACTCTGTGGGCTCTCTTTCAGCTCTCTCTCTGTGTTCAGTTCATTAAAGGTGATTATTGAGCCAATTACAGCTACAGAGCTCACTGTGACTCTTCCTCTTCCGTCTACAGTCCACACAAACAAACACACTCTGAGACTCTGACAGCGAAACTACAACAATGTGGTGTTAACACTCACCCTGCCTCAGCTCCACCTTCCTCCTCCTGCTCTGAAGGAGCTCAGCTAACCACACTTTTACTTTCACTGCTCCTCCCTAAACACGCAGTATGCTGGGACTTGTAGTTTTTTGACCTTGTGTGCAGTCTTTTTTAATCCATCCAGGAAACGCACTGCATTATGCAGTTTTGTCTCAGTAAGCGGTGGTGTGAGAAACGACCGTACAGGTAACACTGTGCTCTGTGATGCTGGTGTGAAAGGTGACTCATCTGTGAGTCAGTGAATATAACAAAGTCATTCACAAAGTCAATCACAGCATGAAGACTTCCTGCAAATATTTCACAATAAAAGCACAGAGGGCTTTTAATCTGAAACAGACACAGGAAATTATGAGTTTGTACAAAGAGTGTAACACAGTAAATAATGTTGCTTATTAAACATGAGGAATGAGCCCAGGTGAGTCATCAGGTAAACAGTCACTGTGAGATGAAACTCAGTGTTGATGTGACTCAAACAGGAAGCAGGAACTCTGATCTTAGTTTGGAGAACTTTGATTGTTTCAGCTGCTCTAAAAATATCAGGATCTTTGCTGCCCCCGTCTCCCAGTAAAGGAGCCCAACATGAGGGTCAGAGTAGAAAGGGACCCCCCCCAAACGGTCCCCAGACCAGAGTCTGAGCTCAGGTTTATGGATGCAGTGTGATCTGTATTTAATCACAGTCATGGAGGAAAAAAGTGACAGTGACTGGACTGGGAGCAGTTTACTCCTCGCTGAACTGAGGACAGAAGAACAAACACAACACCTCCCTGCTCTCACCTGACCTCTGACCTCAGGCGCTCCAAGCAGCCAATCACATTCTAGCTGGGCTCCAAATATTCATGTGTGCCTTCATGAGTGTTATCTGTATATGGAAGCTTCTGTAGTCTCTGACAGGAAGTGCTCGTATATCTGTGAAGAGCAGCTGCTGTGGATGCTGTGCTCGCTGGCTTCATCTTGTGGACATGTGAACATGTTGCTTGTGGTGTGAGGCCGAGCGTCCCAGCAGGAAGCGCCTTTATGGCTGTTGTTTGGCTCCTGTGGGACTTTCTGAAAGAGTGAGAGTGAATTCCTGGAGTGCTGCAGTGTTTCTGACAGCAGACTGAGCTCAGACGTGTCTGCCACCGAACCCTCAGTGAAAACACACCAAATAAGACGTGAACTGAAGCAACGTGGCCGTCTGCTTAGTGCTCTGTACAATAATCATATTCATGCTATTTGTTTCAGACAGTAACAGCTCAGCTTCCCCGTTCTCCCAAAAGAGGCTTAAACATGGACTCCACTGACGTCCTCACTGACCCAGGCCCCAAAAAACAAGTTCCCCTCAGCTGTGGACTTTCTTGGAGCTCCAGAGATCCACCCAGCAAGGTTTAAAGGTCCTGCTGGTGATTACCTGGGCAGTGTTTTACCTGTGGCTGTGTTCAAACGTGTTCACACCTGAATCCTCACAGCTCCAATCACGTCTGACACATCCTGATAGGAATACTTCAATCAGTAAAGTACTCGAGTAAATGTACTCTGTTACATTCCAGCACCGGTCCTATCCACGCTGTCGCCCAATGGGGTCAGTGGCCCCACTGTGGGTACGCCCCTGTGTAGGGGCGGGGTTTAAACTTTATTTAAAACAGCTTGACAATAAAGAAATGTTCTTTCAGAGTTTGTCTGTAAAAATGATCCAAATAAAGGTTGAAATCAAAGTGAAAATGTGCTGAACATTGTTTATTTTATTTATTTATTTATTTAGGACTTTTAATTACAACAGTGGTGCTGTACAAACATACAAATTACACAATAAAATAGCAATATCAATTAACTTCAATGCCAAATAGCTAATAAAAAATAAGTAAATAACTCTCATGTAGTATTAAAAGCCAGTGAGTAAATGCACGATCACCTCTACGAACCAGCCTCACCTTGGTGATCTAAGAGCTGTAGGGGGCATATAAGGCTGCAGTAGGTCTGACAGACACCCTGGGGCCTGTCCATTCAGTGCTTTATAAGTCGGGTCAGACAGGAGGACACACAGAGGATGGAGGGAAGGAGGATGGATCTGCTGACTCTGAAAGTTGGTCTGTCAGTTTCTGGTCAAGTTTTGTTCAACAGGAAACATAAACAGAAGCAGGATTCATAGCAGCCTCCACTTGAAACAGCAGCCTGCTTAAACTGTCTGCGTGTTTCTAGCTGATCTCTGTTCCTGCTGATGTCAAAACTTCTCCGATTTATTGGAAAACTGGAGGTGAAGATGGCAGATTGTTGGCTAAAATGGATGTCTGTGGCATCCTGCATTTAATGTTCAGCATCCTTGTGAAAACCCTTTAAAAGTTGTTTAACATGTCCAAAAATCCAAAACTGTTACT